CTACCACAGTTACATTTCCTTACAGTTTCTTGTTGCTGTGATAAAATACTGCGACAAAGGCAACTTAAGGGACAGAGTTTATTTTAGCTCTTGGTTCTCAGTTATAGTCCATCACCACGGGGAAGTCAAGGCAACAAAAACTTGAATCAGATAGAAGAGGCCAAAGACCAGGGCAGGGAGAGAGTAAATGCATACAAGGTTGTATTTGGGTCCTTCTCCACTCATCCAGTTCAAGGGTTCAAGATTCCCTGCCTAGAGAATGAAGCCATACAAGCTAAGCAGGTTTTCCCAGATCAATTTACATAATCAGGATACTTTCTTACTATAGGCATGCCTACTCCCAAGCTAAGTTGACAATCTGTCATTAATATTTCCTTCTTGTCATGATTTTAGGATGTTTCAAGTTGACAGTTAAAAACTAACTATACATACATACATACATACATACACACACACACACACACACACACACACACACACACACACACAATGGATATGGCACAAATAAGGATAATATTTTCAGAACGAGAACACATTTTCCCTCATAACCCTTGCACATCTGCCCTTCATCTTGTGGCCATTTGGACTGCCATCTGAACTGAGTTGCTCTAATGACATTGTTTTCCCTTAAAAGCTGCCATTGATTCTAATTAAATCAATTGTGCAACATTAGTGAGATATATGGAGACCTTTTTCGTGTCTTTCCGGGTCTAATTTAGACCACTATGAATTTCATGCCATGCTTATCTTCCTTTCCCATCACCCCCCACACTGAATTTCTGTTTCTCAGGAATAGATTTTATTTCTATATAAAACCTTTACAATTCTTTCTCTCTTCTTTTTTCCTTTCTGTCTACCATGGCCTGTCTACTTATGCTCCAGATTCAATATGAGATGTTACTTTATTCCAGAAGTCATTCCTAGCTTTCCCTACCAGGTCTAGCCAGAGACTAGGTTAACCTTTCTCCTTTGTGATCAAATGGGTAACGATCAGGGAATCACAGACTTGGGCCTGAATAGGATTCAACATACTAGGTTGTTACTTGCCCCCCCCCATTTATTTACTTATTTATTGGGAGTTCTCTGTGTCTGGTGTATGTCTAGGCAGGCATGTTGGGGTGTGCATATAAGGTAATCAGTTAATTGCAGGAATCAGACCTTGTCTTCCACTATGAGGGGCCTGGGAACCCAATTCAGCTTGTCAGGCTTAAGCAATCTTATTTGCATCCTAGTAGTAATTTTGGACAGAGGCAGACTGAGTATCAGAATCACTGGTTGAGGCTGTGAGCTGCCTCCATCTGTAATCTGGGCACCCTTAAGAAGATGAAGCAGGGGGATTGCTAGTTCTGGCTAGCTTGGATTACTCTGTCTCAAGAAAAGAAGATTAAAAAAAACCTACAGGCTTTATTAAGTTGTAGATCAGCCTCAGTGTTTCTGATTTGCTGGACCTAGGATGGGTCTCAAGAAGTTGCTTTTGTACCAGCTTCCTGGTGACATATCGATGCTGTTTTAGTGACTGCACTTGAAAAAAAAAATGTTTATCTATTTTGCTAAGTTCTTGGTTCAGCATCTTCAAAGTGACTAGTTGAGGTACATGTAGAATGTTGACATAAATTAGTGCACAATCAAGGCCAGTTAATCATTTTACATCATCAATGCTTTTGTGGCATTATTGAATTATCCAGTGAACAGGCCAAATTGGGAACTCCTCAAAGAATGATGATCACCTTGGTTTTATTATTGCTGTGGTATAGAATGAAGTGAGCCATAAACAATAATAGAATAAGTTCTTTATAAAAAGAATTCAATATTCAGTGAAAATAAATTTGGGTGTTCCCTTAGATAGCCTTTATATAGAATGTTCCAGAGTTTCTAACTTAGTCCCCTATATTGTTGGTATTCTTGGGACTATTTCTTGCCAACTGCTGAGTCAGACTGCACAGCTTCCAATTCTAAGAAGATCTCTGAGGTGGCGGGCATAATGTCGCAATTTCACTCACCTGAATGCTTGAGACTATCTCATACCACAAAAGTGGATTAGAATGTCTGAGGAAGAAGATGGCTGCAACCCTTTACAGGGGCAGAAATGACTGAACCACATTTTCTGCCCCTGTTCTCTCTTTTGCAGTTGCTTTGCCTTGCTTCAAAGGAAGCCGGGAGGTATGGTCTTTTAGTAGGAAAACTATCATTTCAAACTCTAAGGAGATGAACAAAATGTAGATACAGAAAAGTGGGGACATAGATTTTTAGCTGCTTCCTGTTATGGAGGGTCAGTGTTGGACAGGCATAGTTTTAGGTCTGTTGAAGAGAGGAGTCCTCTGGTGACTTAGCTGGAGGGGAGTTTTAACTTGATTGGTCACGATGGATCACGCAAATGCCATCCTGTATTTCTGGAAAGACTTACTGAAAAATAATCATTATGCAGATGATTTGATTACAGAGTAAAACTGAGATTTCCCAGGAAGGTGGAGGCAGAGGGAAGAGAAGAGGTGGGTGAGATGGAGTGGGTCAGTGAGAGGACGTGGGCACAGAGTTGACTCATAGTGACAGTGACTAGCCCCACTGCCAGGGGCGCTGCACCAAAATGAGCTAGCAGAACTAACTGGAAGATACAGAGCATCAAAGGAAGGGGACAGGGGAAAGGAGAGGCCCATTGTAAAGGATCTGGCCTGGGGTGAAGGTTGAAGGTCTCTTGCAACCAGAGTTTCTCTGCAGTGTCTAAAAGGGCCTTTTGCAGATGTATCAGCACACAACAGAGCAAATGGAACGTTACAGGGTGAGAGCCATCGATTGGGGAGCTTACATAGAACATTCTGTTTGGTTATAGGGTGAAGTGCAGGAAGTAAATCGTTTTAAAAGACAGGGTGAAAACATGAGGAATAAAGAAGTGATGGTGGGGAGGATCCAGAGTGGGAGGGGGGAGCTAGAAGCCCATCCTTAGGAAGCCTGTGGATGAATTTGTGTCTGTTCCCCGTGTCTAGGGCAAACCAGGTAGGATGCACTGATGTGGAAGCAGCACCATTTGTGGAGGAGGAAACACACTAGCAGTGTCAGATCTAGTCTTTTTCATTTCAGAGTGCTGCAGCAACCACGGAATCAAGTGGAACCTGATGGATGTTGTTAGCTGGTCTCAGATTTCTCTAAGGATTTTCTGAGAGTTGATGGGACCAAAGGTTGAGGGAAGACTTCAGTCTAGCATCTTTAATTCTGAGTCCTGAGTAGCAAGAAGACAGATAAGTGGGGTGGCCCATGATCCATTAGTCACCCAAATTGCTTTCAGGGGTTTATGGGTGCTGATCTCTTTAATTGCTTCTGGTTGACATCGGTTGACAATGGTGGGGGCAGCTGTCAGAGGGCTCTATCTAAGGGTCCATTACAAAACTTAATGGATAGCAATGGTCAAGAATGTAAGTCAGGGCCTGAAAAGATGGCTCAGAGGTTAAGAGCACTGGTTGCTTTTCCAGAGATCCCGAGTTCAATTCCCAGTAACCACATGGTGGCTCCTAACAATCTATAGAGATCCATGCCCTTTCCTGGCCTGAAGGCATACATGCAGGCAGAACCCTGCATACATAATAAATAAATAAACCAACAAATAAATATGTAAAAAAAAAAGATTGTAAGTCAGGAGGTAATAACTGTATAACTCTGAGGAGAACATTAAGAGAAGAAATTGTATCAAGATGAACATATAGGTCATATAGGGTTAACTATAAAGTTAACACAAGGTTAAATGCAATTGTACAACTGGCCAGACCATGCACCAGAGTACTGTAAGAGAATAAGGAAACAGTAATTAGCTATTTATTTATATCAGACTCCTGCATAAGGAGCAAGAACTTAGAAGTTAAAGTCAGCATCTAATTGACAACTTAAAAGAGAAATGGCAAAAATTCCCAAGTCACCACTTGGATATTCTGAATAACTCACAGCAAAGCTGTGAGTTTGAAGACAGAGTATCTGGCCATTGCTCTCATTGGGGAACATGGATGGTTAGGGTGTGGACCTGTATCGTGGTTAAATAAGGATCAGGATAACAAATAGGCCGAATAGAATGGCAAGCATTTTTGTTATGCAGGTGATACTTCACTAAGAAAAAAAAAAATCCATGCTTCTTAGAGCCCAAATCATTGCATTTTCCACCATGCACTGTAATTCTTGGCTTCCTCTCTCTCCCTTATCTAACGAGCTTCTGTAGGTATGTGTGCTATCTAATTGAACTTTGATTCTGTAGCTCAATGCCTACTGCATTTGATAGGTAGTTACACATGGGTAATTAGTATTTGCACAGGCCATTCTTATTAGAGCGAGAAATGGAAGTGAGCATCACTGATTACAGAGTGCTGGTCCATGACATGGGCACTTGTCAATATTCTGTGAATTCGTATTTGCTTGAATTTTAAATATGGAAGATTTTAGCGAATGGTCCAGACTCCAAGTTTCCCTTGAAAAAGCCCTCATTCCTGAGACTCCCAGGCCACCTACTCCTTGAGATGGAGAGCTCTTTTCGTCTCACCACCCACTTCCCACTTCCCATTGCATCACATGGGTCTTTGTTTGAAGGGGTGTGAAATGAGAAGATGGACTTCTGCAGATTCCACATGAATCCACTGAAACCGTCTTGATGAGATTATCGCAACTTAACCAACAATAGAAATAACACTTTAACCTCCTCTTGCTTTTTCTCTTAGTGATAAAAGAGCGCTAACAGTACTTGCCTACATGTTCTATAGCATGTTGAGTCACAGCTCTGTATTTTGTCTGAGTTATTTCTCTGCATTTCACAATAAATGGCTAATTGCTAGCTACATTCTACTGTGATTTACACCTCTGCTTCTGGGAAAATTATATTTAAAGCTGTCTGTCTCGGGAATTCTTCCTTCCTTAGGAACTCTTTTTATTTGTCTTAGTCTTGTCATATGAGATTAGGATACTTAAAAAAACAACTAAGTTAAAACTTATTAGTTTACCAAACTAATCATGTTCTTGCTTTGTTTCAGTTATCCTTAAAAAGAAGAGGAAGTAAAGATTTGCCAAAATCTGAAAAAAAGGCTCAACAGACACCCACAGAGGTATGTCAAAATAAAAATTTAAAGATCATATCAAGCACCTCCTAATGTACATGTTAATAAGCTATATATATAAATAGACTTAATGGCTAGATGGTTGTATGTGAAACATAGCATTTATGTATATGAACTATGTAGCTGTAGACACAGATGGTAAATTGTTAGAGTAGTTGCTGATAAAGCTAGCACTAACTAATACCATATGAGCTTTTACATGATAAGCCCATAACAACACATTGTTAGTGCTCTCTGAATTGCTTTATTTGAAAACTGTAGCAGAGTGCTAATTTCATTCTTTCATAATTAATGAAGTCAGTGGAATGACTATCTGCAGAATAAAGAATGCTGTGGGAAGAGACAATTGAAGGGTCAGACAGGCTGATGATGATGATGATGATGATGATGTCATTCTTGGTACCAGTGACTAAGAAGACAAAAGGAAGGAAAGAAAGTACTAAAAATAAACTTAACATGGGCTAAGGACCATTGGAACGAGAGAATAGTGGATGGAAGCTAAACTAGTACTGATACAGTCTAGGGCTCTTGATCAGCTTGTTTTCTCTGTCAGTTCAACAGTTAAAGGGTGGTAAAATCTAATGTGCAGCAGGTCACAATGAAGTGTCAAGCACCACAAACAGAACTGGCCGTTGAAGAAAGGTGTTTATTGGAGGATTAGGGAAACACACACATGCAGCAGGCACTTGGAGAATAGGACACTTTGCAAAGCAGAGCAGGGACTTGGACAGCTGAGAAATCCAGTTCTTCTTGTGTCCTGGAGTTTTAAAGTCTCTGAAGAACTTTTCTCTTCTGATTTTAGGTTGTTGATTAGCCCACAACTGTTGTGTCATAAGTCCTGATCTGGCCATGAACTTTTTGAGCCAGTCCATCAGTATGGGGTCAGCCGGTGGAAGACAAAAGCCAATATTTTGTCTCCCATCATATATGATTGTGTGCATCTACTATTCCTTGTGCCTTCCCCCTGCAGGAGAATGGCTCTGTTTTGTGAGAAATAATATTAAGTGGATTAATGGAGAACAAGTTGCCTGTATTGAAACCTTTGTTACTTGCTGCCTTCAGTGTGTGTGTACATACATACATACATACATACATACATACATACATACATACATACATACATATCTCAGATCTTAGTTGAGAGTTACTGAGCACCGACCGAAAGAAGTAAATATATATAACTGGTTAAATGCAAATTGACTTCCAACATTAGTCTTTCAGATCAAAACCAGGATCAGCTTGCATCCTACTGGACATTTATTGTGTTTCCTTCTTCATATATCATCTTTGCCTTCCTATGAGTGAGTCTTTGGCATGGACTGAAATTACAACTCGTTTCTCACCTTGGAATTCTCAGTTTTTTTTTTTTTTGCCTTCATTTAATATAGAAAAGTGAAACATATATTTTACCACTCTACTTTGGATGGAACAAATTCCTGTGAACCATTTCTTTTTCAATAATTATGTATGGTATTTTTTATGCCTACTTTTAAATGCAGCCTGTAAGTAGGTTATACATAAGAGACAAAGCACATTGACATGCAGAGTTCTACTCTCGAAGTTGCACAAGCTAGCACACTTTGTATCTTAAAAAGACTTAGCTTCTAATAAGTAAAATGAGTTTCTGAGCCCACTTTCTTTTACTACATCCCCTTTAACATGACGATATAGGATATTTCCCAGTCTTGAATATGTTTTTATCCCTTTGGGTAGGTAGGAGAGTTGGTGTGCATACCAATCAGACATGCTTCTGTCTTTGGTTTGCTTGACACAGCAAAGTGCAGAATTGTTCTGTTCTGTTCTGCTCTGTGGTTTGTATCCCACCCACTCATGTGCTAACTAGATTAAACCATGCCATATGTCAGTAGAATAAAGGATTTTCTGTAATAGAAAATAAAGTTTTCTACCATATAGATGACTGCCCAGGTACTGAATCTCAGCTAAGTATACTTGCCTATAAAACTTAGCCTATGCATGAAAATGACTAGTCATTTTCTCTCTGATTGTTGGCCTACTATGTAACAAGTATTTCCTTATCCCACCAGCTTCCAAGTAATGATATGGAGACTTCTTATTAATTAGGAAAGCTCAGCCTATAGCTTAATCTTGTTACTAACTAGCTTTTATAACTTAAGTTAACCATGTATATTAACTTACATTCTGCCATGTGGCTCATGGTTGTTACTTCCCCTCTTGTGTACCTTCTTTGCTTTTCATCTCCTTGTGTCTCTGCCTTTCTTCTTCCCAGAGTCCTCTCTGTCCCTGGAAGCCCTGTCCATACCTCCTGCCTAGCTGTTGACCATTCAGCTCTTTTTTACACCAATCATAGCAATATACCTTCACATCGTGTACAAGTACTTCATTTCCCCCTTTCCATCTAAATCAAAAAGGAAATGTTTTAACTCTGACATAGTAAAACTATCTGCAATAAGAACAATTACTGAGTAAGAATTACATTCAAAATGTCCAGTCAACTTGCATTTAGCAAATTCAGAAAAACATTCTTCATTATTTATCCTATCTTGGTGAGTCCAAAGTTTTGTACATAATTTGTTTCCTATCCTAACTTGTATTACCAACCCAAAACTCTTTTTAGACCTCAAAACATTTTCTTAGATAAATAACTTAAGTTTTTATATCTTAAAAGATATATACTTTACACCTCTTTTGTGGGTTTCTTTTTTGAATTCTTAACAAGGAAAACTATAACTATCTCATCATTAATCCCATCAGAGATCTGAGAAAGATACACTATTGTCTGAGAAAACAGAAAGTGCAGAGCAAGCAACTTCCAAAACTCTTTATTATAACAATCACAGCAACACACCTTCACACAGTGTACAAATCTCCTACAGCATTATCTCAGCAACACACCTTCACACAGTATACAAATACCCTACAACACTATTGCAGCGACACACCTTCACACAGTATACAAATACCCTACAACACTATTGCAGCAACACACCTTCACACAGTATACAAATCTCCTACACTATCACAGCAACATGCCTTCACATAGTATACAAATACCCTACAACACTATACTACCTGCCAAACATTGAGCTTTTCTTATCATTGTGCCTTTCTTTTCTCCTCTTGTTTGGTTGCCTCCATAACTGTTGCAATAGCTTCAGTCATCACATCAAGTCATCTTGTCCTTTGATCAAACATAAGATTTCTCTAGGTCTCAGAGCATAAATGTTCATGATCTCAGCCCCGAGGTTCCACATGGCTACCGGTAGATATTTATATAGTCTCCATTCAGTGCTGTCCTACAACTAAATCCATATTTGTCACCCAGAATTTGTTACTCTTTGTTCTTTCTGTACCTGGAGTCAGACCCTAAAGTTCAGAATTCCAGGGTAATTTTTTTTCATCTTTGGATGATGTGGCCTTAAACACAGTAAGATGTCCTTGATCTCAAGAACCTCCTGCAAGGCTGTTTCTCTCTCTCCTTGTGGACTGGATTCTCCCATGAAAGCTTTCTGTGATGTATCCCCTTGGTGCATTATTGAAGGTTGTTTCACTCCCGCTCTCTGTGATCCCCTCAGTGCTCATACATGGTTTCTCAAGGAAAACAGAGGGCAGCACATCCTAGTTCTTCGACTTTACCCACTGCCCTAGTTTCCTTATTTGCACTTCTGTTCTAGAAACAGATCAAATGATGTTACTTTTGCAATCAGCCTGAATACAGATTCTGTTCTGCCACCTACTGACCTGTGCTCTGCCATGATAAGCCTTCTCATCTGTAAAGAGGTGAAAGTTCCAGCTGCTCTGATGACTGGAGTGAGCCTATAGAGGCAGAAGGAGTGTGGAGCTCAGCCTCTGCACCACCGGCAGCTCTCCAACCCTTCCTTCTCTCATTAGGAGTTAGGAGGGCAAAAGATCTATACCTTTTGACCGTTGCTTCCACAACCTCTCTACCAGAAGTCCATCCTCCATAGTTGTTTATCAGAGTGCACCTCAAAAACTGTGTCTGAGTAAAGAAGGGATGTTTATTTCAATTTTTAAAAGAAGGATTAAGTATGTTGCTTGGCAGAATATTTGCATAGAATTGTTAAGCCCTGGATTCCATAAAATATGCTGTAAAAACTATCACCTATCATCTATCTATCCATCTATCTATCTATCATCTATTTATCTCTGCCTATCTACTAATATAGTTGTTTATCTAAATAAGGACACTAAAGTGAATTTTGAGAAATGATCTTTGGAAAAAAGTATTCTTGGATACTGTATTAGTTACCTTTTCATTGCTGTGATAAAATGACATGACCAAGGAAACTTATACAAGAAAGCATTTTACTGTGATTTCAGTTTTAGAAGGTTAGAGTTCATGATGGCAGGGTAAATCAGACACAGCCATGAGCTCACATTTTGGTCCACAAACAGAAGGAAGAGAGAGTACAGAGGTGATGACTTGAGACTTTTGGAATGCCAAAGCTACTTCTTGGTGACACAGCTCTTCTAACAAGGCTCCATCTCTTAATCCTTCCCAAATAGTTCTACACCTAGTGACCAAGTGTTCAGAATTGTGAGCCTATGGGACCACCCTTCAAACTACTACAGACATAATAAGACCTTCTATGAATGTTCTTAAGAGAGAGGCCTATTTCTTAGTTAGTGTTTCAATTTAGTTGATGATTAGGCTTTCGAGGTCAGAGTGAGAATGCATGAGAAGATTCACTACAATTACAACTCAACAGGCAGAGTCAACTCTGTCCATTTTAGCAGATGACACTGCATCTTTTTTCAAGAAACCATGCAGAGAACCTACCAATTTCACCTTGCATGGATCATTTTGTGTGAGACTTTCCCTTTTGTGTGAGCTTTGAAGCAATCTTCCTTCAAATAGCAGTGGATAGAAGATTATTCTCTGACAATGCTCAGGAGTTATAGCTTCAGAGAGAAGTAAGTCATAGACTATTTCTCTTCTCTCCCACTGTGTAGCCTTGAGCAAGTCACCTGACACTTTTAACCCAGGGAGAATATAAGTAAGGAATACATCATTGATTCCTAATTATACAATCATTCTGACTATTAAATCAAGTCTTTTTTTTTTTTTTTTAAGAGCGGAAGAGCATCTGGTTCACACTCAAGCTCAATAAATGACAGTGAATGAGTGTGAAGGGACTCCATGTTCCTTAGAGCAAATAGGTTTTATATTTAGGGCAGTTTTGGCGGGGGGCGGGGGAGGGAGTTCAAAATAAAAAGAACATTGCTGAGAGGACTGTGAAATGGTTGGCAGCAGTTAGTGTGGTGTGATTTTGTTTGTGTTTTAACAAATAAAGTTTGTCTGAAGATTAGAGTGCAGAATTAGCAACACTAATTAGCCATAGAGGCCAGGCAGTGATGGCACACACTTTTAATCCCAGCACTCGAGAAAGAGGCAGAAGGATTTCTGTTAGTTCAAGGCCATGCTGGACTACACGGAATTGATCCAGTCTAAAAGAGAAACAGGGCCAGAAGTTTAATCTCAGTAATTGGAAGCCACAGGCCTTTAATCCCACCACTAGGGAAGACACAGGAAGGGATATGGCTGGGCAGAGAGAGGAATATAAGGCAGTGCAGACAGTATCTCTGAGATTCAAGTCTGAGGGAGGTTTTGTAGAGACAGGATTGCCAATAGGTTTGCCAATAGGATTGCCAATATGGTTTGAGGATTCAGAAGTCCCTCCCGTGGCTGGCTCCTTTACTTCTCTGCTCTTCAGGCAAGCTTCATTTGTTAGATCACAAACAAAATATCAGGAGTTAGCACATATAATGAGCCCTGAATAGTGGTGAACGAGCTTTCCCCTATCCTCTTTTCTTTTGGTTTCCAGAACATACGACCTTAATTATTTTTTTTTCGAGACAGGGTTTCTCTGTATTGCTTTGGAACCTGTCCTGGAACTCACTCTGCAGACCAGGCTGGCCTCCAACTCGCAGAGATCCACCTGCCTCTGCCTTCCTAGTGCTGTGATTAAAGTCATGCACCACACCTGGCCAGCTACACTACCTTACTTTTCAACTGAATGAAGAAGTAAGGGATGCAGAGAAAACACACACCTCTATTTGTGCCACTCGGTGGTAATTACAAGAAAAAGAAATTATTTTTGCAGATGTCCTTCCTCGGTTGTTTTCTCTGTTTGCATAGAAATGACCTCCTGTCCTCTCCCCCACTTTTCCCCTAATGAGGAGGATAACGAGGACTTGAAGTGCCAGCTGCAGTTCGTTAAGGAAGAGGCTGCCCTGATGAGAAAAAAAATGGCCAAGATCGACAAAGAAAAGGACAGATTTGAGCACGAACTCCAGAAGTACAGATCCTTCTATGGGGATCTGGACAGTCCTCTACCCAAGGGAGAAGCTGGGGGACCTCCCAGCACCAGGGAGGCTGAGCTCAAGCTGCGGCTGCGGCTGGTGGAGGAAGAGGCCAACATCCTGGGCAGGAAAATAGTGGAACTCGAGGTGGAGAACCGAGGCCTGAAGGCAGAACTGGACGACCTGCGAGGCGACGACTTCAATGGCTCGGCCAACCCCCTCATGAGGGAGCAGAGCGAGTCCTTGTCGGAGCTGCGACAGCACCTGCAGCTGGTGGAAGACGAGACCGAGTTGCTGCGGAGGAACGTGGCTGACCTTGAGGAGCAGAACAAGCGCATCACTGCCGAGCTCAACAAGTACAAGTACAAATCCAGCGGCCATGACAGCTCCAGGCACCATGACAGCGCCAAGACCGAGGCCCTGCAGGAGGAGCTGAAGGCGGCGCGCCTGCAGATCAACGAGTTGAGCGGCAAGGTCATGCAGCTGCAGTACGAGAACCGCGTGCTCATGTCCAACATGCAGCGCTACGACCTGGCCTCACACCTGGGTATCCGTGGCAGCCCCCGTGACAGCGACGCCGAGAGCGATGCCGGCAAGAAGGAGAGCGACGATGACTCCCGGCCTCCCCACCGCAAGCGCGAAGGGCCTATTGGCGGGGAGAGCGACTCCGAGGAGGTGCGGAACATCCGCTCCCTCACGCCCACCCGCTCCTTCTACCCCGCACCCGGGCCCTGGCCCAAGAGCTTCTCCGATCGACAGCAGATGAAGGACATCCGCTCCGAGGCCGAGCGCCTGGGAAAGACCATCGATCGGCTCATCGCTGACACGAGCACTATCATCACTGAGGCGCGCATCTACGTGGCCAACGGGGACCTGTTCGGACTCATGGACGAGGAAGACGATGGCAGCCGCATCCGCGAACACGAGCTGCTCTACCGCATCAACGCGCAGATGAAGGCTTTCCGCAAGGAGCTGCAGACCTTCATCGACCGCCTGGAGGTACCCAAGTCTGCGGATGATCGCGGCGCCGAGGAGCCCATATCCGTGAGTCAGGTACAGTTCTGCTTTTTGCGAGCCTTGGCGATGGCCCACGGAGCTGCGGTCCCTCGTGGGGCGTCTCCAACCCTGACTTACACATCATGTTAGGGAAGATCCATCGCATAGCCTTCCTGGGCTTTAAAGCCCTGTGTTTTCACAGTGTGTCCTACCCGAAACCCGATAGATGACTAACAATTATTCCTTCCTGTTCTATTTGAAGGGGACATTTAACACTGACACAACCAAGTTTTGTATAAGGACTGATGAGTTTTAATGCACATTATCATTTTAAAAGGTCAACATTTTTCAGTATTTCCCTAACAAGTTGGCCGGCATAAAGGTCCTCAATAAGAAACCTCAAGTGTTTATTTGAGGTTTGTGATTAAGGTCCAAACTGAGTTTAAGATCATAAAAATGACTAAATAAACTGGGGTAAAGTTGGTGCACCCCTCAAATCCCAGGAATTGGGAGTGACACTCTAATTTTTTTTTCCGAATTAAACAAGATTATTCGAAACTTCTGATAAGTGTACAAACTGATAGTAAGGCGCCATGATCTTGTGCCCAGAGCCCAATGGAGAAGACACATTCAAGTCACCCCTCTACCTAAGTTGAAGCAACAAGGTGGTTAATTCCAGTTAGAACACCCAGAGTTCAATAGTGGAGATCCACAGTGAGAAGCTTGTAGCATAGCTTCAAGGCAATACTACTTCAAAGAAATAATAATAAGTATTCCAGCACAGGGGAAAGCAGCATTTCCCTGCTGACTTGTAGAGGCATACCGGATGAATGGGACTCAACAGCGTTGGCCAGGTATGGTGGCCACTGAAAGATCAATGCCACGTTTACCACATTAAAGCAGGCAGTACCATCCCCTGGCAGCAGCCTGATGCCCTGTATCCATTGGAGAACCCACCGAAGTACAACAGCATGCATGGCTTTGAACACACTCGAGACACCGATGTTTAAAACCCAGTTTACGCGCATCAGCATGACGGTTAGGTTTCTTGCCTGTTGACCACGGCTAGAGAAGGGCAACCCCATCGCTTGTCTTGCATGATGCTATGCTTTGCTATGGGGCAGGGGCTGGGGGTGGAGGTGGGGGGGCTATGAGGGAACCCATTGGCTTTCACGATGGTAAATGTTACTCTTTTCTATTGAGTGCGTTTTGGTACCAGCTTGGGTTTTCATTTCGCAGGTTTTTGAATACCAAGCATGTGGTGTTTTCAGCTACACTCTTGGGTGGAGGGAGGGGCAGTATAGATGTTTAGCAGAGTGAGAAAGTGCTGTTTATAATGAAGTGTTTTAAGACTTAGCAAACATAGGTCTAACTGGGGAAGTATCTTTATTTGAGGCAGAGCTTTGGTAAGTTGATATAAATACAAGATTTAAATGATTATTAATTAACTCTTCTCTTTCTCTCTACATTTGCCTTCCCAGATGTTCCAGCCCATCATTTTACTTATTCTCATCCTTGTATTATTTTCATCACTTTCTTACACAACAATATTTAAACTTGTCTTCCTTTTTACGCTGTTTTTTGTCCTGTAAATTCTTCATCATTTACCATTTGTTGTAGTGTTTTTAGTTGTTTTATTCTGTCCACCCTTCAAGACAAGACATACAAGAAGTATCATTTTTGTAGTAACCGATGCTGTAAAAACACTGAAGACTGCATATCTCTGTAAAAAGACACAACTCATCTTACACTGTCAAATTCAATAGAAAAACCCCAACGACCAAAAGATTTCAGGTAAGGAAAACAAAGTGTAGCAGATTTTTGTGTAAGCCATATTTTTGCCTCATAACTTTTAATTCATACAGGTTAGCTCTAAAACATGTCTCATGTCTCATAATTAATTCTTAGGAAATGAGTATTAATTCAAATCTGGAAATGTTTAAGTTGGTTGCAATTGCAAAATCATGTCGTGAAATTGAGTATAAATATAGATTGTTTTATACATTATCTGATCTAGGTTACATAGATTTATGAGTACAGTATTACTTTTGTTAGACCAAAAAGAAAATATTAGTGTTCAATAAGTATCTGTAAGAAGTATACTCAATGATGAAATATAGCTCTCCTGGAAAGTAAATTAAAGTAAATAATATGTTCTGAAGCTGACATGTTTTGCCTTCAGGGATATTTTTGAATGCATGAGTGTAACTGATCTTTTAGTTCAATAAGAAACTAAATAGTCCACCTCTCCATTTAATTTATCCAAGTTTTCATTAAATCAGCTACCTCTCCATTTATGTATTATATATGAAGCTATGTATTGCTGGCCTTGTTGCTGGGAGTCCTTTCCTTTCTACAATAAACTACTACACAAGACTGCCTCCACAGAAGAAAATATGCTAGCAACATATCTTGAGGAACTACATAAGAAGGGAAATAAATACTGTATCTGGAATTTCCTTGAGTTACAATCCAAACCTGGAAGCATAGTTTCAGTGGATCTACTCTGTAAACTTAAACCTACTTTGGTGAACCCTAGCATCTGTCATGTCTATACCTAAAGTCACCTGGGTGGATTCTACATATCAAAGATTGTATTCTGCCCATCTTGTTGGTAGTTTACCCACTGGGATCCTGCAATACATGGAAATTCCAGCACTGGACCCAAGTGTGGTAGTACATACTTGTGACCTCAATCCTGGGGGAGCTAAGACAAGAGGATTGTAAGTTCAAGGTCAGCCTGAACTATCTAGGCAGATCTCAGGGGGGGGGAAAAGAATAAGAAAAATCATATTCTCAGTTCACATATTGGTCATTGAATGTGAAAATCTGTGGTAAAAAGAGGACTCTTGACCACAGGGAAATATCCCATGGGGAAATTTTCCAGTTAAAGATGTGTAGGAGGGCCTTTGGGATCTCAGGAACTTAATCTGCAGAAGAGTGTTTTCCCTTACCCTGCTATAGCTCCATTTCTCCTTCAATATTAGATTTAGGAAAATTTTGCGAGGGAGACGGTTCAGTGAGTTAGAGAATTTGCTATGCAAACACAAGGACCCAAGTTTGAATCCCTAGAACCCACATAAACAGCTGTGCATGGACATTGGGAACGGGGCAACAAGGAAGAAGGTGATAGAGGAAGGCATTCAGCAGCTTTCTCTGGCCTTTTCTTGTGTATGTAGCTGCATGCTCACATGCATGCAGTACCTATACATACACCACCATAGCTATCACACACCATACACCACCACATACCACACTCACACCACCACATACCACACTCATACTCTCTCTCTCTCTCTCTCTCTCTCTCTCTCTCTCTCTCTCTCTCTCTCACACACACACACACACACACATTAACATCTCCCTCTGATCCCCATAAGTGCATGTATTTGTACACTCTAATGCATACAGTACCTGAACACATACCACATACCATACACACACCACAATACAGTATACATACATGCACACAACATCCCCCTCTGACTTCCATAAGTTCATATACCTCCATGCTCTCATGCATACAGTACCTGCACACACACACACACACACACACACACACACACACACACACACACATTTAAATTTAGAAAAGTTTATAGTAGTTGAAAAGTTCAATTTCACTGCTCTTAATGTCCATTAGGTTGGTCTTTGCTTGGGATTTTATTGTACTCTGTTTATGTTGTTATAATTGTTTCTGAAGAGGGGAAAAGGCATCGTCTGATGAGTTGTTTACCAGCAGTTGGAATCAGTCAATAAATACGTTTTGTTTGGTTGGGTGGTTTTCCTTTGGTTTTCTGTGTTAGTAGTGGGACACAGGATCTTCTATATGACAGGCAAATGCTCCATAGAAATATATGCCCAGTCACATTTGGCTTCTAATCTTAAAATGCAAGTGGCTAAGCACCGGGTAGGCTTTCATGAGAAAAGAAGAAAGAAAGAGAAAGTCTATGCTTGGTCAAACTGGGAGCACATCCTGCAGTCATAGCAATTGGGAGATGGAAGCAGGAACCATGGCAGATTAGAAGTCAGCTAGGTTTACGGTTTGAGTCTAACTTGAAACATTCAAAACAATAATACCACAGGCTTCAAAAACCCAAATCTGTCTGCTAGACTTTTTGATAATTTTCTGATCCATACCTGGAACTGAACATAGATGTTTAAGGGTTGAAATTGAATTTGCCTGACATGTCTATGGCACTTGGAGCAAGAGACCCCACAGCCAAGCAGTGCTCCTTAGCTAAATGTGGAATCTCTGCAAAAGCATGATGTCACAATGACTAGGAATTTCCCTACAGTGCTGGTACTATTTTTTACAATACAGGGCTGGAGGGAAGGTTTAAAGCACTCACTGTGCTTGCAGAGAACCTAGGCTCTGTTCCCATCACCCAAATGGCATCTCACAATTGTCTGTCTACAACTCCAGCTCCAGGGGACCTGATGTCCTATTCTACCCAATGCCAGCACCACAAACATGGCACATATGCAGATGTGAAGGCAAACAAGCACACACATGAATACACATAAATAAAAGTAAATTTTTAAAAGAAAGAAAAATTCTCTTCACTAATGCAGTTTCTCAAAATTAACAAAATCAAAGAAGATACAAGAAATGCTAATTTAACAGGAAGGAGAGCCAAGAAGAACAGAATATGAGTTCAGAGTCAGGCACACTCACCATTGAGTTGATGTGCACAGTAAATCAAACCTTCACAATGACCCAATAGGCTGTAACAACAATGTCTGTGGGTTTTCTTAATGTTACTGGAAATATCTGCTATGATAATAGTGAAAGTACTTCAGCAACAACTTGTGCTATCTGAGCTAACCAAATAGCATCATCTTTTTTGGTAGCCATGTATACCCTGGCTACAGCAATGTTAATATGATTGCCTTGAACTGATTTTTATACAAGAATTTTATGTGACTGTTAGTTCCCAACCACGCCTTCCATAGACAGAACCCTCATAGCATGCAGAGAAGGGGAGAGCCGACTGTTATGACCACCACTACATATTCTGGGGGCTTTGGATGCCCTCTGACAACAGCTCTGGCCTTAAGGATGTGAATGCCCCAGTGAATTCTAAGGAACTTATCTCTAACTCTGGCTCATCTACTGTCCAGCTAGGTTTCTACTTGTGCTTCAGCATGTACACACACACACACACACACACACACACAGAGAGAGAGAGAGAGAGAGAGAGAGAGAGAGAGAGAGAGAGAGAGAGAGAGAGAGAGCTAGCCTGCTATGGTGGGTAATAAGTGCATCGGAGTCAGATGGTCAGAATTTCCTGTGTCAAAGAGAGACTGCTGGCGAGCTAGAGAGAAGAAGGAAGAAGGTCTCAGGAAATACCAGTCAAGTGACTTTCCCCATCTTCTTGTAACTTGAGGCTCTTCTGTAGGGACCCAGTGCCTAGAGTTGGAAAGAAACGTCAAGAAAGACGGTGCCCAGGGCCTGTGAGGACTCCCCAGCTTCCCCTTTCCCTCAGCCTCTCCCTCCACCACCAGGGACACTCCCCCACTGGAGTCTCTGATCTCATTGTTGCATTATTTTTGTTACTTTGTTCTGTGTACAATTATTTTATTTTTGCTGTCTTTAAGTGATCCACCTCATAAAATCTCCCAATTGTTGAGACAAAGAATCTTCTATTCTCATGTTCAAAGCTATGTTGTTTAAATGCCATGATGGAAATCATTTTGCAAAGCAAAAATTATTGAGAAGATTCACTTCTCTGACCTATCCTTGGGCATAGGAACAAAAGTCTATTAATTTACCCTAAGTTTAAGAAAAGAAAAAAAAAACCCAGGAATCTGCTCAGTTATTTTTAAAGAAAAATGACTGAAACTCATTAAATAGAAAAGTTTGGTGGTGAGCCAAGAATGTGCAGTTTATGCGCTAGGCTGGGATGTGGCTATTTAATTATCTGCCACTGAAGTTTGGAATGTCAGCCTGGCAGCTTAGCCTTAACTCCAAAAAGCCTATGCAGTGTTTTAGCTACATTCTCATTGTGCTATGGCCCAGACTCACCTGGTAGAATATGGTGACCCAATTGATTGGAGGGAATAAACAGGAAGTGGCAGATGGTTAAATTAAAATGTGAGAAAAGTAACCAGTTAACTGTTTAATTACAATAATGGAATTGGTATAATTAGAAAACAGTATCCATAAAGAAATACCTTCTAGAGCCCTCTTTACAAACCTGAAGGTACAGTGAGATGAGCAGTTTTGAATCTGTTTGTAATTGGCTTTGGGTTATGGGAGATGGTTACGTATACATTTCGATGAAATTAACACTTTATCAACTCAACATGTCTCAATATGCTCATGATATTTGTAAGAGCAGAGAAACACAATGGAAGAACATGCCAGGTCCCATATGTACTGTGATGAGTGCAGTAGCATCCCATGTGCTTCTAAATAGTGCTTTTGTGTTGCTAGTTCGGAGGGAAGAAGTAATGGTGGCTCCTTTTTGTGATGGCTACTCTGAAAGTTCATAGAATCATAGACTGAAGTGGTTTCTGCTATTTTCCTAATATAGTCTGTCCATGCCTTCTTTGCTTGAAAATTTCTGTATACACACACACACACACACACACACATATATATATATATACACAGAGATACACAAATATTTATGTACATACTTTTTTGTATATTAATCCAATAATTCAGTTCTGTGTATAGTTTGTCATTCTTTTTCATGACCATCTATAGTTATTTTTTGTTTTTTTTAAAAACATTTTCTGCCATTTCATGTAGTATTAACTCATGGACAGGAAAAAATTCCATACTTTAAAAATATATCAATTATTTAGCAT